GCCCCCCCCCCCCCCCCCCAAATAGTATAGGTAATTATTAAGGCCCTTATATTATGGCATCGAGGGTTCAGGATTCCTGGAGATCCAAACACCTACTGTTTTCAGGGTTATACCCTGTAGTTACATGGGGTGAAACGACTAGTTTGCCATGCTGCAGGGTTTTCAACCCTAAGCCCTAAACCCTACACCCTGATTTCTGTGGTTCCAAACGCCCGGCGGAATCCGCTTTCACTTTGTTGAACATTCGGCGAGGGGAAAAGGGTCGTGCAAAAAAACCTACACCCTAAACTTTCGGCTTGCAGACAGGGTTTAGGGCCAGGTCTCGGGTCTACATAGGGTATATGGGAGTTTCCGAAAACAAGGGGTACCTTATTTTGGGGTCCTTATAATAAGGATCCTACTATTTAGGGTACTATATTAGGGTATATGGACTTTTGGGAAGGAGGTTTATTTTGCGACCCTGCATCGTGAAAGTCCCTGTGTCGGACATGAGTATAAAACGCCACGTGCACGATTAGCAAGCCCCATCCTGGTCTTGAGCATCCATGATTGCGAGGGTAGGACAATGGGATCGTGATTTGGGTTGATTTTGGAGTTCGTTTTGGTTGGGCTTCAGGGTTTTGATCGTAGGTTGTAGAGTTCTGAACTCCAGGACAACCTGAAAGTGTCTTGACCATCTGCTCTCACCATGTCGATGGTGCATGTCTATGTCCAGTCAAACCCCCTTACCCTGAAATCTCAAAATCTGCAAACCCTAAACCCCGAACACCCCAAACCCTAAATCACCAAAATAGGCCCAACAAAGAGAACGGTCTTCCGTGTCTTGCTCCTCGGGATTATCCACTGCACTTCTCCTTGAGGCTCTGATCTCTGAGTTCCAGGCATCTCGCTGGCTCTTGTAAAGTAGGGTGTAAAGTTTAGCTTTTGGGATACTTTCTGTCCAGGATTGAGGGTTTCGAGTTGTTGGGTTTGAAGTGTTACGGTTTCCCGGTTTTTGGGGTGTTGGGGCGGGAAGCGGTTTAGGGTTTCGGGTTTAGGGTTTAGGGTTTAGGGTTAAGGTAAGGTAAAAGGTGTAATGCTCTAGGGCTGCTCAGCTTTAGGGCACACGGCTTGTGAGTTTAATTCCTGCACGGGTGACGTGGGCTTAGTATGTTTCTGGATGCTGACCCTGCAGCACCCTACACTAAACCCTGAGCCCTTCTTACAAACCCTAGAACCTCTAGTAATTAAGCCCTAGCCTAAGCCCTGAGCCTGACGGCTCGAAGCCTCAACCTCCTACAACCCAAAGAGTATTCCAATAGGGTGTTGGGGGTAAGCTGAACTATAATCTTATGTCCGTATGAAGGTTTAAAAGTTCAGACCTCAACAAGGGATCCGGATAGCCTTTATAAACCCTAGACCCATACTCGTAACATCCTGTGAAACCGCGTAAGGTCGCACAAAAGCTTTCTATAAATCCTGAAATAATGTGAATTCTTCTCTTTCCATCCTGAGTTGGACCTTTGTCTTCAGCCACAGAGGGGAACCTTACTACCCTACTTAATGATACCCTCCTCTAGGGTGCCTGGAGCTACCAGTGAAGGACACGAGTTCTGAATGGGTGGAGCCGTTGGAGAGTAGATAAGATACTATCCAATACCATACTATACTCTATACTACAATATAGTCGAATTTTGTCAGCCCCAAGGGCTGAGCCATGCCAATGGTCCAATGGAGGTGGTGCCCCTCCAAGGACGCTCAAGAGATGAGGTTTCCGGGTTTAGGTTTAGGGGTTAAGACACCTCAGACAGGACCTGCAGAGGCGGCGCACCGTTCAACAATCCTTGACATGTGCAGATGGAATGGCTGCATGCTGCACTGGAGAGTGAGCATGTGCATTGGACTAGTGGTGGCAACCCTGCAGCAACGGGACGCGCGGGATGGACTCATGGAACAATGCTTCGGGCATCGCAACCCTCAATGCTGCTGTTGCTGATCCAATCTACTCTGCAATCACCGTCATCGCCTGGGCTCGTTACCAATAGTTGCCCGAGTACAGACCACTCGCAGTAAGTTTGAAGAGGGTGCAGTGATATGGGGATTTCCAAAAATAGGGGACCCGAATATGGTACCCTAAATTTTAGGTTCCTTATTATAAGGACCCCAAAATAAGGTACCCTAAACCCTAAACCCTAAACCCTACAGCCGGCAGAATTCAGCTCATCCGTTTTTTGCTGATGCACTTGCAGATCCAGCGACAGGTGGGGGGTCAAGTTATGCCAAGAACGTTAACTACCTCTTTCTCAGGGCCAACCTTAACCAAAACCCTACCTTTTTTGTTCGGTCTCTACAAACTCTATACATAGAAACTGCTGCCGCTGTGCGGCTAAACGCTAAACCCCAAATTTTCAAAGGCCAAACCCCTCAGCCCCAATGGAGAAATGGAGCCTTCCTGCTTTGTGTGCGCCTTGAGAGTCGAACAACCCGGCTCTTACATTACACTCTAAGCCCCGGGTTTAGGGTTTAGGGTTTAGGGCTTCTCGCCACGAGTGCGATGTGCTACGGGGGACATTGGCCGGGCGAGCTCCAATCAAGCCTGTGTAAAAAAAAGGGTTTAGGGCTTGCGCGAGTTTTGTGAGCCTAACCCCTACACCCCTGAACCCCAAGCCCATTTAATCCGAGGAAAGGCCGGGCTGCCGCAACGTTGCGCGCGGCGGAGAAGGGCCGGTAGGCCGAGTGCCTTGGTGGAGCCCCTGAACGGGGTCTAAGTTCTTATTCATATAAGGGTTTAGGAGTTTGACGGGAATCCTGACATGAGTTCGGGATTGGAGGGGCAGGCATGAATATCGCGGGGTGTTAGGAGACAAGGTTCAATGGGGCCAGAAATAACGCCCAGGCCTACTTAAAGGATTGAAGACGCGGTGACTGAGTAAGGACGCTTTGTTTTAAAGTGCACTTATCTCGAGCGTTCCATTGGTAACCCAACTTAAAGCCTTTGCCCGTAAGCGCAGCTAGGCTAGACCCTTGCGAATGAACCCCATAAAAATAATAGTAATAATAGTAATAAGTAATAGTATTAATAGTAATAATAGTCATAATAGTAATAATAGTCATAATAGTCATAATAGTCATAATAGTAATAATAGTAATAATAGTAATTCGTCTCAATCCTCGAAGCCCTGGGCCCTGAAGCTGGACTCGTCAAAGGCGCCGTACTTCGCCTACCTCGTCGTCGTGGCCTGCGGTGACGGTGTTGGCATCCTCCAGAAACGAGTCCGGCGGCCGGGGACTTAAGCCTCAATATAGGGTCCTAAATACTTACCTATACTATTTGGGGGCTCCTTATTACTTATTATTATAGTCATCATATACCTCAAAGCCCTATTCTAATTATTAGGGCCCCTACCTTACTCTACGTGCTCTTTAGGAATGATTTGCCATATTCGTTACAGTGTACTACCAAGTATAAACAGCATAAACCCAGCGGGTGATTGAAGTTAACGTTCTTGTTCCAGGTGTAAGTTTACAAAGGGCTTACAGTACTATGAATAATGGTTCAGGTGCCTGCCGTGCTCCCACTCTGGTTTCCCAAAATGGCCTTACGGGGGACATGGGTGTGGGGTTGTAAGTGGTTTAGGGTTCATTTAGGACCTGAGGAGTGTAGGATTCAACAAATGTATAAGGCCTGTGGGTTCAGGGTTGAGAGGGAAGAAAACCTTAGTACAGTTCGGGCTCAGGGTGAGACTGCCCATTCTCTTGCATGTTTAATTCTACTTGTTCGCGACCTAGGTGTTTGACCGTGGCACAAAACGCCACATCCCAAACCATAAACCCTACATCCCCTGTAAACTAATTCAAAATTTGGTCATTTTGGGGGTGTCAGCCCCAAATCCCCATTTTCGAAGTTCAGCTAGGCTGCCCGGGTTTAGGGTATAGGGCTCCTGTGACTTTACGGGTTTAGGGTTTAGGTTTGAGNNTAGGTTTGAGAGTAGAAAGAGAGAGGGGTTTAGGGTTGGTGTATTAAGCCGCAAAAAAAGGGTAAATGAAAGCCACTAGGGTAAATAGCAAACCATTAGTCCGAGAGATGGATAAATTAAACAAAACCGGTGCATTCGGTCATATTCAAGCCTACAGTAGAGCCTAGACCAACCTAAGCCCTAGTACTGGAGCCCTACCCATAGGCCCCAAAGTANNAACTACTATGGGGCCGATGGGTAAATGCCAAATTCCCGGCCAGGACCGCTTGCAAAAGTGCTCCGAGTCGGAGGCGTGGACCTGGCGAGGAGAAAAAACAGGGGTGCTTATTCAGTGTGTAGGGTTCAGGTGTTTAGGGGTTAGG